CATGTCATCGTATGACCAAGCAAACACATCTTTAAATTCAAACAAAAGTTGGATCAATGCGTCCCCGATTTTTTCATCTGTGTGAATGCTTATCTTGGTTTCTTTGACTTCTTCAGAACCACCCAAATTAACCGGCTCGATATCATTTAAGTTCGGCTTAGGTTTATTCTCAAATTGTTTCAATTCTCGATTTATTTCCCTAAAAGCCTCTTCTTCATCATATTCCAGTTCTTGGTTCATTATTTCACAATTAAACAGCGCGTTTGGATCTGAGCATGAAGTCCGCAAGCATGTCATGTTATTTAAAGCATCATTATTAGAACTAAAAGAAGAAATAAGAGAAAAAATAACAAAAATTAGAAAGAATAAATAGAGATGAACGATGAAATATTGATTTCATTTCATTGAATTTTGAAGATAACAGAGTTTACATTAGAAATTAAAGACAGGAAACTAAAGAAAGCATCCAAGTTACACCCTGAAATAACTCGTGATGCATAAAAAGTGTCAGGACTGGACTACCGGGATTCCCGCCTGATTGGGAACAGAGTAGCCTTCCAATTTCACAGCTTGGCATTGGGTCCCACGTATAGCACCTCAACGGTGCTTGAGCCTTCTCCTGGTTGGACCATGTGGGTTTCATACAACATCTACCTCATAGCCCCACAAATTTCTTCAATTTCCTCGGTCGTGAAGGCCTCATCTTCCTCTTCCTCATTGTACTTAGGCCTGACAAATGTTCTATAAAGATGTGGAATCGGCTGAGGCAAGACCCAACCATTGTTCTTTCGTTTATCTGCCCATTTTTCATCAGCGGGCATGGGCGGGAATACCACCCCAAAGAACTTCTCGCTAGCAGCCAGAGTGATAGGTTTGGTGATTCCTTGAAATGACGTACCGGACCCCTTCACGGGTTTGTAACCATGCCTGATCATTTCCTTGGCAACCATGATTGACGCATTTGAAAGAAAGGGTTGGGGCAAGGGTTTCCATCTTTACATTGGTCCGCGACCACAACCTCGAAGGCTTGATAGACTATGTGTTCACTTCCTTCCCTAGCCTCGAGACATGGGACTGACGGGTCCCGGTAAATCTACTGCTCGTCCTCTCCATGGACTACAATCTCCTAATATTCATGTTCAAATTTTACCATATGGTGGAGAGTAGAAGGTACAACCCCTGCTATGTGAATCCAAGGTCTTCCCAAGAGGAAATTATAGGAAGTATCCATGTCCAAAACCTGAAAGGTCACCTCAAAATCCACCGGACCAATAGTCATAACCAAATCAATCTCTCCTATGGTATCTCTCTTGATGCCATCAAAGGCACGCACACAGACGTTGGTGGGCCTGATTCTCTTAGTACTGATCTACATTCGTTGCAGAGTTGAGAGAGGGCAAATATCTACCCCAGCACCACCATCTAGCATGGCCCTTTTCACATAATATCCCTCGCATTTAACTGTCAGATGAAGGGCTTTGTTGTGGGCGACCCCTTCTGGGGGCAAATTATTCTTGCTGAAAGAGATTTGATTGACTGCAAAAAACCTTTCTGCCATCCTCTCTAGTTGTTCCACAGTGGTTTCAATAGGTACGTATGCTTCATTGAGAGTTTTGATCAACACTTTTTGATGTTCAATTGAATTTATTAGCAGAGACAACAAAGAGACTTGAGTAGGAGACTTCCGGAGTTGGTCAATTATCTCGTAGTCCGCCATTTTCATTTTTCGGAAGAACTCTTCTACTTCATCAGCACTCACTGGCTTCTTGAGTGGGAAACGCTTCTCCGTGGCATTATTCACTTCCTCTAGATTGAGGTATTACTCAGTCGGGCTACTTTCCTTTGCTTCTCCCCAAATCTTTTTACCCCTGTAAGTTACTACCGCCTTGTTGTAATTCCATGGAACGGCAGTGGGATCTGTCATGGGCCTCTGCAGTGCGCGGCCAATAATCACGGGCTCATTCAGCCTTGGTGAAATTACTGGCCCCCGCACCACGTAGGTCCTTTTAGGCACATACATTTTAGACCCCTTGTTTAGCTCAAACCTTTTTAGAGGGCTCAATGACATTTGTTCTTTCTTGTGGCCCCAAGGAACATAGAGAACGGTATATTTTGAGGGCGCCGCCCTAGTTTCAGTTTCCACTTTCTTTTCTGTATTCTGAGGGGTGGGTTTACTCTTCTTCTCCTCTTTGTCTTGTTTTACGATAGCCTTTGGCTTCTTTTCCGCATAGGCTATGGCAATGATGGCTTTTAGAGCTGGGTCAAACTCTTTATCTTCACAAATAATTCCAATAACTGGCCCGTTGTTGTGAGACGGTAATGGATTGTTGGTTACATTAGGAACGTCTTCGTCCTTTAGCACTATTCACTTCTGTTCTATGAGATTTTCCACAACCTTTTTCAGGGTCTAACAGTCATCTGTATCATGCCCTTCCGCCCCTGAATGGTAAGCACATCGAGTACCGGTTCTGTAAGCGGGCGACGCTGGGTTCTGCCTGGTTTGGGGTACAGGCTACACAAACCCATCTGGACAAGTTTGGGGAAAAGGCTAGAATATGACTCGCCAATGGGTGTGAAGTTTTCCATCTTAGGTGGTTCCCGGTCATGGGTATTGTAGGGGAAGTTGTTCTGTGGAGGTCGGGGATTATACTGAACTTGGTGAGGAGGTTGATTTCTGGGAAATGGAGCTTAGTTTTGATTGAATTGTTGTTGTGGCCTAATGTAAGGTTGGGCATTCATCACTGCGTATGGTTGAGGAACCATAGCATAGGCCATATCCAGATGGGGATAGTAATGTTGTGAGGTTCTTTCAGGGAAATATGTTCTGGGTGGACGAGGTTTTCTTACACTTGAAGTTGCCATTGTCGCTTCTTCCTTCTTCTTTCGGTTTGCTACACCTCCAGACCCACCTTGAATTGCTTAGGAGGTAGCCCTTATAGTAGACTAACTCAAGATGTGCCCTATCTTTAAACCATTCTCAACCATCTCACCAATTTTGATGGCCTCGGAAAACGGCTTCCCCATCGCAGACATCATATTCTGATTATAATCAGCCTCTTGGGCTTGAAGAAAAACGCTAACCATCTTTGTTTCATCCATTGGAGGTTTGACTCTAGCCGCTTGTTCGCTCCATTTGGCAGCATACACTCGGAAGCTTTCTAAGAACTTCTTCTTGAGGTTCGATAATGAATTCCTATCAGGGGCAAAGTCGATGTTGTATTGAAACTACCTGACAAAATCCCGAGACAGGTCGTCCCAAATATGCCACTAAGATATATCCTGATCCATGTGCCATTCAGAAGCAATGCCGACCAGGTTTTCCCAAAAAATAAGCCATGAGAAGCTCCTCTTTTTCGCCTGCTCCCCGTAATTGGTTGCAATACCTTTTGAGGTGGGCTATGGGATCCCCATGCCAGTCATACTTTTCAAACTTCGGGGTTTTGAAAACCAAGGGTAAATGTATATGTGGGAACATACACAGGTCAGCGTAGGATACGCTCTTTTGCCCGCTCAAACCCTGTATATTTTTGAGACTCTGCTTCATGCTCCTCATTTTTCTGGTAATCTCCTCTTGTTTAGGGTTTTTTATGGTTTTCTCCTGCCCCGCAGTAAACTCGTACCAGGGTGGCTGAGGGTAAGTATTGGTAGTAAACTGGGTAGGTTCCAGTGGGAAAGATGGTACTTGAAATGTTAAGGAATATGGATCGAAGCTAGGCCTGGGTAGAGTGGGTTGTGCCGTAGCTGAACAAGGTAGCGCAGTGAATATGTCTGAGGTCACACCTCAAGTTAACACCTGGGGGCGAGCCTCAGAAGGTGTTCCAGCAAAGTGGGCTGAGATGGTAGGATATCCCAGTGGGGTATTTGAAACTTATAGGGATGTTGGAAGTCCCACTTGCCTTGGGAAATAGCTTAGGGAATCCAGGTATCGCACTTGGTGGTTCTCTGCCGTTGGCCCAGGCATCCCACATTTCCATCATGCGGAGATGCAGGATCCTATTTTCCTCAGCAGTTGTTGACTAAGAAGTTTGGATGGCCAAGATCGGTCTATCCTCCGGGATAGGGATTGTTGGCAGATGACTTTCCGAAGACATTTCAACACTTCCTTTTGACACTGTAAAGTACGGATGTGAAGCCAGATTACCAAAAACCAACCACCTTAAAAAACATGTACTTAACAGTTGACAACAAACCAGTCAGTTTGAAGCAATTAACACATAGGTAATCGCATGTTGGGGTGTGATGCACCTATACAGTTAAATGTGTTTCTACATATTTTGCAACGGTTGCATGTTTCATCCCGGCTTTGCCTATTTTCGCAGTTTTCTTTTCTTTCCTGTTTGGCTCTTTGATGTTTCTCCTCTCATTCCCATTTTTCTTTCTTTTCTTTCATTGCTTTTTTTTGTTTTTTTTTTCTTTAGCTCTCTTTTTCTTTCTTTTTTGTTTTTTTTTTCCGGTTTTTTCCCTCCACATACCTTTTATTTGAGTTATTTACAAAAATCGTGACCTGATCCGATGAGAATTGCCTACGTATCACGACGCCGCCTGAATCAGATTATTACGTAGTTCAAGTAATAAGTACAAAAAATAAGGAAACAATTTTTGGGAATTTTCAATTTTCATTAATAAAACTCCTAAACTTCTCTATTACAAAAGATTCCAACATACTCATTTCTTGGAATAAAAACTACAAACAGACTCAAAACAAAATTTTAAACTAAAAACTGAAATACAGGTTCGATAAATGAAAAATCAAGGGTACAAAAGTGCTTCGACTCCTGGGGCCCGTGGGACATCATTCGGTCTTGCCAGGGGCCTTGTGCAAAATCCCCTTGAAGACGCTCCAGATTACTCATTATTTGACGGACAAATGTCATCACTGCATCAAAGAAAGTGGTTCGAGTCATGTCCTCTCATTCGTGGCATTTCATGACGATGTAGTCGGCAATTGCTCTAACCCTCTCCCGGATAATACCCTTTTCTTGGAGCAACCGCCCGATTTGCTAATTCCGAGCTTCTAACACTTGGGTGTCATGATGGTTTTGATTCTGCAACTGTTGCATATCTTCCTCCATCTGAGACATCAAAGCATAGCAATGTTCCCTTTCAGCTTTAAAGTTCCTAGCTTGTTTGGCCGCCTTATTTTCAAGGGTAGTTAACTTTCTCTTCAAATCGGTGACTGTCCCCTCATATTTTCTCTTCAACTGCCGCACAAATTCCGTCCGTCCTTCAATTACTTTCTTTCGAAGACCACTTATAAGCCTTTCATCTGCTCGGCTTCTTTCCTGGTTTTTAGCGGCTATTCTCATTTTCTGAATCTGATCTCTAAGGGCTTGGTTTTCTTGAACCAGCTTCTTCTTTTCCCCTTCATCGGCAACATCTTGGATACTATTGTTGATTTGAGGTCCCTGATTTGTCCCTCTAATTTACTTATCTTGGCCCTATAGCTTGCTTCTTTTGTCAAACAGTCCCATTGCTCCTGCGAGTCGTCAGTGAATTGCTGGACGTGAGGTCTTTTAGCAGGCCTTTCGGGCTCTCAATTTCAAATTTTCTTTTTCTTTTCCAAATTAAAATTAAAACCTAAATTAACTAAATTAACCTACAAAATTATATTAATTACTCAACATAGTATTTACAATAATTAATTAAATCCTAAATTTAAAGAAAAAATATAAAATTCAAAATAAAAGAGTTAAAATGCAAAATGAACTATTTTGTGATTTTTCATATTTCATAAAACAACTAATTTACTAATTAATCTAAAAAGTGTAAAATTAAATCCTAAATGCAAATGCAATGTATTTGTTTTTTGCATTTTTCATGAATTAAATTAAATTAAACATGCACAACAAAAATGCAAATAATTAGAAGAATTCTACAATAATTCCTAAAATAATAAACAATTAAAAGAAAAATCTAATTCTTTGGAATTCTGTAGGAGTAATTTATGTGGGGCAAAAATCACGTGCTCACACCCCCTATTGTATATTCGATTAAATCCCTGCTTGTACATATTCATTTTACTTTCCGCATTTTTCCTTTCTTAGCTTCTTATTTTATGTTCGTAGCTTCTTGTTTTGAGTTTTTGCAATAAGCCTTTGGTTTTCTTAATGCCACGGTTCTTTCCAACGGTGGAATTTGTGTGAACCGGGTGGCTCTTTACGATGATGGATGACATGAAAACCTTCTTAAGGGTTTGAGTCTGTTTTCCTTTTTGCTTTTTAGTAGTTAGTTGGTAAGGGTGCCTCAAGCAAAGCTTCACTTGGGCCTAACACATTTACCTTTTATCCTATGATCAAAAACAAATCGTTGTGTATAGGATGGTGAAAGATGTGACCATGAGACTCTTGTGTTGGTCGATAATCATTAAGTGATTTTTCGGGATCATTGTGTGCTCAAATCTTATCTAAGGTTGTTATGGGCCTCCGACTTTGTGTCTTTATCAATCTCATAGCTTACGTGGTGAGAATTTGAATTGCAAGTCCAAGTCCCGAGCCATTGGCCTAGAACTTGCCCTGAATGTTTATCTAGGCGAAATCCTAAGTGTAATTTGACTTGAGACATGATTGTAGGCTCTCCTTGATCCGAATGATATCTTGAACACTTCCATAGCCTACCAATGATAAAATCCCTAGTCAACCCTTTTGAGCCTTAGACCTTTTTCCTTCAAGAACTACGATACAAGCCTTTACCCATTCTAAAGATACCCTCTCTTGGAACCCGATCTTTTCTTAGCACATGGCAAAAGTATAAGTTTGGGGGAAGAGACGAGGATTGCAATAAAGTGGTAAAAAGGTATAAAATAAAGAAAAAGGAAAGGCAATGAAAAATAAAGAAAAGCAAAAGGACAAAAAGAATGTTCAATGTAGAAAATAATGAAGGGATTCAATAAAAGCAAAGAATGAAAGGTGTGGAAAGTTGAGAAAGGAGAAAAAAGTTGAAATGAACAAGAAAGAGTGACAGTGTGTCTCTCTAACCCCTTAGAAAGAAGTGAAATGACTTAAAAAGTCAAGTGAGTGCGTGCCAAAACGAAGCAAAAGAAGTGCTAAAGGGAAGATGGAACCTACTTAGACTAAACATTTCCTACCCTGAACCAAAAGCCTTTACTATGTCTCTACAAAAGCCCTATATGATCTTGAATTGAATGAAGCTTACATTAGTGGGGACTCACATAAAGGGCAAGCATATGGTACTTAGAGCCGGACTTGTGACTTTTCCTTGAGAGAGATGAGTGTATTTCCATTAAACTCGTTCTGAGTGCTACTATTCCAAAGATGAGGTTTGCTTAGGGAGAGTCGAGGATGTGTGAGTTTGGGTTCCTCAATGACTAAAGTAATAGAAAGAGTTTCTTTGATGTGTTGAGTCAACTCTTGAGGCTCTTGTGTCGTACTAAATCCATGATGTTTAAAAGAGTGAATGTTGTTAATGATTCATTTGAATTGAGGGCAATTGTTAGTCCCAATTGATGCTAGATGAGGTCACTTTAGGTCAGCTGAATTTTCTTGGATTTACTCTTAAGGGGTGGGTATTATTTTATTTGCTTGAGGACAAGCAAAAGCTTAAGTTTGGGAGAGTTGATAACTAGGGATTATGATGCATTTTACACTCCTTCTTGCTTAAGTTTTAATTAGAAATATGTACAAAATAATCCCAAAGGCTCACATGGTGTACTTGATTGCAGGGTTTGGTCGACAATATGACAATTTGTCAAAGGCAGAATGGCCTAAATGACATCTATACTTATGTCACTTTGTCATGCCGCTCCTCCTACTTCACTTTTTTTCATCCAGACACTTTTACTTGCCCAAAATTTATATTTTAAACTCTTCTGACCGTTGACCAAGCACATGTGGCAAAATAATGGTTGAGCTGGACAAAGTGGGTGTAATTCACGCGGATAATGAGCGTGAGTATGAATTTTGAACCAGAAATAATTAAAATAAAAAGAAAAAGATTATTAAAATAAGAATGAAAATTAANTCATACTGCCCCAGCCAGTTGCCACTACATATAGGACCCTCCTTCTCCCTAGGCAATAGCTAACAATAGGCTTGCAAATTGAATTAGCTTTCTGGGAGAGTTTCTCCACAAGTTCCTCCTGCCTTCTTGCCATATCAAGCTCTCCATTGGTTTTGAAGTCCACATCAATAGAAAACTTAAGAAAAAGATCTTCAACATCTCTTAGTGATTCACTCATAGGTTCTTCAAGAGTTGGCTTCATGACCTCAAGACGATTGGCAGGGGTTGAACATGGGAGAGGTAATTCCGGCAGTGCTCTGGCCATGAGAAACAGTGGATATTCTTTAGGCCATTTTTGCGGCACTCCAACCATAGGTGCTTGTCAGCAATAAGGTTTAGAAGAGCATCTACTATGGCTTTTCCAATTCCTAAATATCCCTTACTACTGTTTTCATTTAATTTTGACATTTACTGAGAAAAAGAAATCTGTGAATTCTAGGAAAAAGAGATGAGATGGAGGCATTGATTTTCTTTTTCTTTACAAAAGTAATATATAATAAGTGTTTTTAATAGATAAAATATAAAAAATAACGTGGAATATGATGTGTCATCCACGTCAAACAAGTGAGATACACACACGGTTAGAGATGTTTAAAATATAAATTTTGAACAAGTTAAAGTGTTTGGACGAAAAAAAGTAAAGTAAGAGGACCAGCATGAAAAAGTGACACAAGTATAGGTGCCATTTAGGCCATTCTACCATTTGTCAAAACAAGCTCCAAAAGGAGTGGAACATGCACAGGTACCAAGAACAAGGCCAAGCTCAGTATAACAGGACTAGTGCGGCCGCACACCATTTTGTGCGGTCCGCAAAAAGGAGGTTCAGAGAGTGTGCATTTCAGGCAGCAAAGCAATGCGACCGCAAAATATTTCATGCGGACCGCATTGACTTCATTGCGGCAGCACTCGATTTTGTGCGGTCCGCAAAGCTCAAGTTCAGAGAGGTGCCAAGTTGGAGGAACATTGCCAATGCGGTTCGCGGTCCATTTTGTGCGGACCGCAATAGAAGCCACCGCTGCCGCGGTGCATTTTGTGCAGCCCGCGATGGCCAACTTCAGTGAGCAAATTGTTTCAGCCAAGAGCCTTAGTGCGGCTGCACTCAATTTTGTGCGATCCGCACTAGCCCCGTAAGGGTATTTTTGTCCAGAATTTTCGGCCTAGTATAAATAGTTTCTTTTCCCATTTTTAGGTCATCAGTTGTATTTTAATGATCAGTTGCGCTCGTGAACAGTACTCCTTTTCTATTTTGAGTAATTTTAGCTTAGTTTCATCATTGAATCTTCAAGTTTTATCTAGTAATTAAATATTATGGATTTTTCTTCATCTATTTCTTTGTTTTCTTCTATAATCATGAGTAGCTAGACCCATTAGCTAGAGTTGTGGCTCAACCCTAGTGTGGGTAATTGATAGGTCTTGTGTTTTAAGGCTTGAATGTCAAGGGGTGTTTGATATTTGGATTGATTTATGGTTTTAATGTTGAATTAGTGGTTGCAAACACTAGTTTATGCCTAGTTGATTTTGGCTCTTCTTGAGAAAGAGAGCCTAAGTTCATGAAATTGGTCCAACAAGGAATTGGGGCATATTCAAGAGAATGATAGCCCCAATTGAAGGTTAAACCTAGAGATAGTAATACCCGACTTGAACCTCTATTGCTTGTACAAATTATCATACCTAATTGGTTTTGAGAAAGTCAATTAGGGCAAAATCACTCCAACTACCGAGAGGTATAGAGTGAGTAGAATCGTGCAATGGTTATATCATACTCCCCAAATATGACAATCTAGCCTTAGACTCGAGAATCCGTCAATTAACCACCTAGGAGAAAGTCATTTCCCTAGTGCCTTTTACCTATTTAGACAACCTTCAATAGTTTACTCTTAGCTTCACTTAGCCTAATTTAGCATCTTAGTAGTATAAAATTAGAAGTAATATCAAAACCAGTTATGAATAGAAGTGCAATTAGGAACAATTATGCAACTCCAATTTAGATAGAAACTCAACTCCAATCTCTAGCTCCCTGTGGAAATCGATCCCGACCTTCTCGGGTAAAAGTTGCTTCGACCACTCTTGCTACTTTGTAGTAGTACAGGGTTGGCTTCGATCAATTGTATGGGTCAAAAAATTATATAAGCTTTTTCAAAAACTTCAGCTTATATAGTGCTGAAGTTTTTACAAATGAATTAAATAACTTCTGCATCTTCTGCTGAAGTTTTTGAAAAAGCTTGTCCAGGACAAAAAAAACTTCAGCTTATTTAGTGTTGAAGTTTTTACAAATGAACTAAATAACTTCAGTATCTTCTGCTGAAGTTTTTGAAAAAGCTTATCCAGGACAAAAAAACTTCAGCTTATTTAGTGCTGAAATTTTTACAAATGAACTATATAACTTCAGCATCTTCTGCTGAAGTTTTTGAAAAAGCTTTATGACAAAACTAATGAATCCAGTTGCTGAAGTTTTTACAAATGAACTAAATAACTTCAGCATCTTATGCTGAAGTTTTTGAAAAAGCTTATCCAGGACAAAAAAACTTCAGCGTATTGCCTTTGGTACTTCAGGCCCGTCTACTAGAATGCTGAAGTTTTGCGTGATTGCCTTTGCTACTTCAGCCCTGTATGCTGAAGTTACACAAAAAAAGCGGGTACGCTTGCAATTTTTTTTGCAAAGCGGGCACAAGTTAAAACGTGACCCAAAAAATAGGTATGGATGCAAATGCCGCAAGCAGGTTCGACGAACAACAAGCAAAATTCACGCTCCTATTTTTCTATGATTAACATTAATTCTCCATTTATCAATGGCATCAGTAGGAGACTTAATTTCAAAAAAATTCCCCGTAAGTTAGCAAAAATATCTATAAGCACATTTTGACAGGAGGAACTCTTGGCAGATTCGTCTCTCCAGAATTCCAAAATTGATTAATGTGTTCATTTTCAAAGTAAAGTTTCAATGCGTTTTTGTATAGTAGTAGTTGGCGCAGGATAACTTTGTTAAAACCGACTAATAGCGGACCTTTAATGCCTACTCAATGGTACTTCTCCCAGATTCTTTTATGTTTCAGTTGAGTTTGGGCCTTAAGATTGGGAGAGGCCGGCTTCCAACAAATCCCAACAAACTCTTGTTGGACCTCAACAGTTCAATACCCGCAAGACCACAGAATAGGTGGAAATGACATCAAGTAGCCACTTTTAAGTATATTGTTTAAAATATATTCATAGTTTACAATATATTTAAAGATTAGCTAATTTTGCTCAAAGTTCAAGACACGATGTCCTAGAGTTTAAATCTCAAAAATCGAACTTCAGGACATCATATCCTAATGTTCGAAAATTGTGTCCTGAATTTTAATTAGCCGTTAAGAAATTTAGGACACTTAATCCTAAATTTCAAATTAGCAGCTCAAAAATTCACGACACTAAGTCCTGAATTTCCAAATTTAAGATAATTAATCATGAAGTTTGGATGAATTGGTTAATCTTTAAATACATTGTAAACTGTGAATATATATTAAATAGCGGACTTAAAAGTGACTATTACTGCACTTCGCCCGCAATATAGCTCGAGAATTTTGACTCTAAGTCCATGATACCCATAAAATATTGAGAAAATTACAAAATTGGCCAGTCAACCGAAACCGATTGCATTTGTTATATAAATATATATATTGTTTGTATGTAATATCTATATATACACAAAATATATATATATATTATCCGCTATTAATTTTAGAAGTAGCTACAAAATATACATTTCTCTAAATATTCCTCTTGGTAACAAAATCAAGCCTTTTCCCTAATGTTGGGTCTGAACTCCGACACATGGATTTTATCTTATTTCATTAACCTTGCACATACGTATACAACAAATAGTTTATTTATTTTAGAAAAGACTTGATTTATTTTCTTGTCCAAATAAGTTTTCTTTTATTTTACGTTTCAGAAAAGGAAACAAAAACCTCAAAGCAGGGAAAAAAATTCTTTGTTCAAAATGACTGCGTTGTACCTAGATTTAGGCCTTTGGACAAGGTCAATTATAGTACTGAGAATTTCTTCCCCATATTGTCACCCTTTGTCCTGTTAATCCATTATTTATCAGTATTATAGGCATTGCATTTTGCATTCTGATATATAAGCACTACTTTTAATGGGCGTTTAGAAATATTTTCATTAACAAATTCAAAAGCTTTTGTTTTTGGAGTAATATACTAATATTTGGTTTCAAGACTAACGGAGTAATATACTAATATTTGGTTTCAAGACTAACTCAACTGGTTTTGGGTTTTCGATAGTAGCCTAATAGCGTATTTGGTTGCCCTTCTAAAATCAGCTTATTTTGAAAAGTATTTTTCTTAAAAATATTTTTTTAATGTACTTTACAAGAAGTAGTTTGTGTTTAGCTAATCAATTTAAAAAATATAATTAAGCAATAATTATTGTTTGGACAAGTTTTTTAAAAATACTTCTAAGTATATTTATTTCAAAAGTGCTTTGAAAAATTGCTTTTGGAAAGAACTATTTTTTTCAGCTTCTCAAAAACTGCTTCTATTCAAAAATACTTTATTTTCTTCTAAAAGTTTGACCAAACACCTTAACCTTGAAAAGAAAAGGAATTTTTACCTCCTATAATAAAGGTTAATACCTTATTTATTTTAAATAAATACCATTTAAAAAAATTATATTCTATAGATACCTTTTACTATTTATAGCAAAATATCTAATTTTGGTACCTCCTACGCCCAAGCCACTAAATACGTTATTCAGCTACACTATTTTCTTTCTCTCTCTAATTTGATACATATCATTCTCTCTTCCAAATAATACCGGATTCATTGACCGACCACCACTTCTCTTGGCTAGGATTTGGGAACCTCCTCCTCTCTAGCGAAATCCAGTTGTACGTCTCTTTCTGTCTCCTTTCATATCCTAGATTTTCCGTCATATTTGAACTTGGTTATCTCAATTCCCAAATTCAAAAATGGGGAAAAACGATTTCTTAACCCCAAAGGCCCAATTATAAGTACTAAACAGAGAATTTGACCCCGGACGATGAAGGAGCTGCTGAGGACGGAGATGAACGTCGATGTTAGAAGGGAAACGAGCCATGGCTTCCTGTTGTTGTTGCTACTTCTGACGTTATTGTTGCATCTGCTGCAATAGGAGTAGCTAGAAATTAGGGTTTGTTCTTGAACAAAGACGACGGATTTTGGGGCTGAGCATCTTGATTTTCTGTTAATATATTTCAATGTATTTTCAACGTATCACGCTATATTTTCATGTATTAATTGTCTTTTTTTTCATTGTAATTCAATCTATCTCGTTGTA